TAGAATCGATAGATAGTTACATTCTCTTAATGAATAGAGGAATTTGTTCTAATAGTGTTTGTAAATAGGCTATCATGTCCGCATCTTGTACAGCAATTAACTACTAGGAAGAATGTATGCAATGTGTTAATTATTGAAACTGTCCTGCCAATTTGGTTTGAGACTGTCTCATTGCTATTTGTTTCTCAATAAAATTATGGGGGGAAAAAAAAAAAAGGTATGTGGAGAGGATGTTCCAGTCCAGCCAGAAGCAGGAGTAGAGCAGATGAGGCGAAGCTGGAGCCCACCATGTGGCTCAGAGGGGAGACTCCTGTGGGAAGAGTGGGATGGGTCGGAGGTCGAAGGTACAGGTGGTGTGTTTGGGAGTGCCCTCAGGTTAGGTGTGGGACACCACTAATGGGGTGACAACTGAGTCCCAGGTGTGTGACACAGGAAGTGTGAGTGAAAGCTACAGAGCTTTCTGGATTGGCTTCCTATCACTTCCTATGCCAGTCCAGAGCAGGGAGCCAAGGCAGGGGCCTCTTGGGGTGGGGTGACCTCTACCCTCTGTCCTGTCTTCGGAGCTGTGTGGTGACCTTGCTTGGAGGAGAGCCTGTGTACTTCCCCAGCTATGCTGTGTCTCCACCTCCAGGTACTTTCTGCTGTGTGTGAACTATTTCTTCTACGGAGAGACGGTGACAGATTACTTCTTCACGCTGGTCCAGAGAGAAGAGCCTTTGCGGATTCTCAGTAAATACCATCGGTTCATTTCCTTCACTCTCTACCTAACAGGTGTGCCTTGGATGCTTCTCCATTTCTTGGGACTGTATTGATTTTGTTTGTTGAGTAGGAGGTGGGGAGTTTTGTTTGTTTGTTTCTTGAGAAACTATATAGGTGTCTCCCTGCATAGTTTAGGCTGGCCTGGAACTCATAGCAATCCTAGGACAGCTGGGGAATTTCTCCATTAGTTAAAGTTTTGTGATATTAGTTAGTTTTGTGATATTAATTCTGACTATGCTGAGAGTGAGCAGGCAGCTTTGTTTTATGTTGAGCTGTAGCAGCTACCCAGCCTTTTGTGCAGTACTGGGGACTGAATCCAGGACCTTTTTGCTGAGCTATATCCCTAGCTCTCCTTTATTTTTTGTTTTGAGACAGGATCTCACTAAATTGCTAAATTGCCTCAGCTGAACTTGAATTTGTGATCCTCCTGCCTCAGCCTTCCAAGAGTGCTGGGATTACAGGTGTGCGCCTCTGTACCTGGTTCTGTAGCAACTCTGCTATGATGGAGATGGGGTCGGGGGGTACAGGTGTGGAGACTAGCCATCTGGAGTTCTCACCACCCTCGGAGGACAGCAGAGTGGGATTCCTGTCCTGACTCCCTGTTGGCAGTGTAACCAGACAAAAATAATCCTGGCGGGGACAGTCTTTAGTGGAGTCATTCTGGGAGGGAGCTTTGAGAGACCTTGCAGAGATGTGGCTTTCCTGGATTTGGATTTGCTGTAACCTCAGGGGAAGAGGAATTTAATCTTTCTGAGTCTCAGCTCTTTTGTAATCTAGAGCTGAAACCAGCAGGGATATTGTGATAGTTTTTTTCTCTCATTGTTTATCTTGATAACTAGTCTTTTTCCTCTGGGCTTTGAAATTATGCACTGGTTAATTGAAGACCTGAGTGATAGGGCTGCGTAACACACCAAGGAAAGGAGTAGCGGAAGGATGTAATGCAGAGTGATTCGCTCACCTTCTCTCCTTCCTCTAGGATTCTGCATGTTTGTACTGAGCCTGGTCAAGAAACATTATCGACTGCAGTTCTACATGGTGAGGGAAGTGTGTGTGTAGGGGTGTGTGTGAGGTGGGTTTTTGGTTGACAGAAGGTCTGTAGAGGCTCAGCAGGCCTTTCGTGCTTTCTGTGACAAATCAGAGCTCCAGGGAGCAGCCTGTGCTGTGTGTACCTGAACCTGGAGCAGGAGGAAACAGTGCCCCTATAGGCTACAGCTCCACACCTCCAGACCCAGGCTCTGCTGCCTGTCTCCTCGAGCAGCCTGCACCAGGTAGCTCCTGCGAGGTGCCTCCGATGTGGCCTGGCTGATCAGCTGGTGCTGCTCATTTCGTGTCTCAGCTTGAGAACGTCTCTCTAGTAAGAAAATGAAGATCACCCGGGTCTCAGAGCACAGAGGGACTCAGGAATGGGCTGCGTGGGCCTGCTTCTGGTGGATTCTCCCCAGGGAGAACACAGATTGCTACTCCTGGAGTCCCGTTCTGTGCTTTCTCACTTCCCCTGAGTGAGGTGCAACTGCAGATATTTTTCCTGTTTCTCAGTATCTTTCTGTTTGTAACTGATTATTTAAAGTGAACACCATGGTAAACTTGATAGGAAGAGTTTGTTTTTCTCCCTTTGCAGTTTGGCTGGACCCATGTAACACTATTGATTGTTGTAACCCAGTCACATCTTGTTATCCACAACCTGTTTGAAGGAATGATCTGGTGAGTGATGGCTGGGGAGGACTTTGCCTTTCCTGTGTGGGTGTTTCTCGTGTGCAGCTAGGTGGAGAGCCTCACTTTATCTTCATCACCAGTGGTTCTCACCTGGAGCCTTCAGCATCACCTGCAGGCTGGGTGGCCAGCTGGTTCGGGTGGTCCAGGTGGAGTATTTCAAGTACATTCCCAGTTTTGCTGGTGCTGTGGGCCTGGACCCACACTCAGAGAATCTCAGTGACAGTGGAGCTGATGGCAAGAGATTTGAAAACCCTCAGGAAAGGAGTCTGATTTCCTAGCAGTATGAACTACTAAAAGTCAAAAAGGAATACACTTGAATAGATCAATAGCCCTAGAAGAGCTTTAACAATTGTGTGAATTTTACACCTAGAAGAAGAAACTGGATCAACTGGTGAACAGCTGAGTGCTATCTAAACCTTACCCAAAGGCCATACAGAGGGAAACTGACTTCCTTTATGGTGCCAGATAAACCACTATAAATGCAATATCAGCAAAGGAAGCCGGGCAGTGTGCCCAGAGAGCACTACGCTGTTACTAAGGAGAGCTTATTTCAGCAATGCATCGTTTCGGTGGGACATCTGTCAGCATTGATAGATATTAGCAGGCTGAGAAGAAGCTAGGTGACTGTAGTGGAAAGATAAAGGCATTTCCTGGTGTAATAAGAGGAAGGTAATGAGTCTCGTGGGTCATATTCCAGATCGCCTTTCTCAGGCCCCAGATAGGTTGTAGCAGCACCCACCTTCTGTGCCTGGAGATTAGCTCCAATACCTGTTAGATTTAGGCGTTATATGCTTAAAACATTTATGATGGCCTGAGAGACACCAATTCCTTCCCTTTCTGTCACATTTTCTGTTAGCATTTCACCCCTCCCCCTTTCCTCCAGGTAAACACTCAACCCTGAGCCACATCCCAGCCCTTGTTAGGTATTTCTTTTTTTTTTTTTTTTTTTTTCCAAACTTTCTGCAAAGGTTTATTCCACAGAGGGGCTTAGTCCTTCTTGGCAGCAGCCTTCCTCATGGCAGCCAGCATGTTGTTGCTTAGCTCCTTGTGCTTCCTCTTGGCCTGGATGTGCATCACCACACTCTTCTTGGTGAGCTTGAGGGTGCGTTTGTCCTTGGAGACCTTGAGCAGCTCCATGTGGTCCTTGGTGAGGCCCACAGCCATGGGATAGCACAGAGCCGTGGCTGGGAAAAGCAGAGGAGGGAGGGCCACTGTTTTTCAATAGTTGCTGTAGTGGAAGGCTTGTTGGCTATTTCTTAAAAGTGCTGCAAGTTAAGTCCTTAAATTCAGGGCCAAGCATACCCTTGGTTCTATGTGACTAATACTAAAATCTCTCAGCATAGAGAGCAGTGACTGCTAGAAGCTCCAGCAAAGGGGACCAGTGGTCTAAATCTCTCCACCCCCCAAGCCCCCAACAGGAAGCCAGGAAATAGTGCCTGGAGCTGCTGGCCAGGAAGTCCAGACTTTGTGTTAACTGTGATAGAGAGCTTCTAAAAGTGCCTGAGTACAGACTGAGGAGAAGAGAGAGGGCACAACTGTGGTGGGAATGACAGGGCCAGCAGGGGAAGGGACCAAAGCGTAGCTGTGCGTGTGGGGCTATTGCTCCTAGGGTTGTCTTAAGCAAGGCTGGGTGCACTTGGGAAAACAGTAATAATGGACAATGAGAACAGTTAGTTTTGAAATAGATGCAAAATACATCGTGTAGCACTGTGTAGGTAGCTAGTAGAAGAAAAATGAGATGATTAGAAGTGGTTATTTTGGAAGTAGGCTTGAGGAAAGAAGGAAAACTTAGTTTCTTTCTGCCTTTTGTAGTTTATATTCATATTGTCATGTGCATATATTACTTTCTGATGAGAAAGAACATAGGACATTTATGGGGTGCTCCCTCTGTCCACTTAGTGGTCACGCAGTAGACACCCGAGTGCCTGCTGTGTGTTGGGGGGTGGGGACAGCTTCTTTGGGTGTTTTCTTTTTAACTTATTCCTTAGTGGGTTCCACATATGCTGTGGCTTGTGTGGTACTGGACTTATGGAAGGCCTTGTTTGGTGGACTTCGGGTGTTCTGTCCTCTCAGGAAAGTTGACCCTATTTGATTTATTTCCTAGGTTCATTGTCCCCATTTCCTGTGTGATCTGCAATGACATCATGGCCTATATGTTTGGCTTTTTCTTTGGTCGGACGCCACTCATCAAGGTGAGGATGTTACCCTCGCGTGCAGTGTCGCAGTGGGGGAAGGGAGTGCTTTCTATAGGAGTAGCTGAGTGTGGCAGACAGAGAAGAAATCCAGCTGTGCGCACTGTGGACATGTTTTCATGTCACCCTGGAGACAGACTGGTAGTAAGTTAATTCTAGAGAAAAGCCATAGGGAAACACTGAAAACTACAGATAGTCTTCTTAAAAAAGGAAAACAACAACAACAACAAACCCCATCTGTTAGTGGCCATGGTGGCACAGCTCTATAATCTTAGATTATTTGAGAAGCTTAGGAGAATTTCAAGTTCAAGGCCAGTCTGGGAACCTTATCAAGACCCTGACTCAGAACAAAAAATAGAAAGAGTTGGCGATGTAGCTCAGGGAGAGCCCTCTGGGTTTGGTTCTCAAGGAGAAAGAAATCACGTTTATAGGTGATATATGTTATCTGCACACTTTGGGGTTTGATCTGGATTTGGGTATTGTCATTGAATTAGTATATAGTTTTATAATGTAATAAAAATAAGAATGACCAATTGAAAGAGAAAGGAAACTTATAAGCTAGGGAGTATACAAGGGGAATATACAAGGTGAGGTTAATAGAATGGGGGTTAGGGCCGGCCAGATAGCTCAGCGCACTAAAGCGCCAGCTTAGGCAGAGCACAGTGGCTGGGGTTCAATCCCCGGCATGCTGTGCCCCACCCATGGGGCGCACTGAGATGGCGATTGAGACCCGGTGTGTTGGCGCACACCTGTAATTACAGCACTTGGGAGGCTGAACACAGGAGAATCACTACAAGTCCGATCTGTGTAGTGAGACCCTGTAGAACCTTCAGACCTTGCAGACCCTGTACCAAACACATTAAAAAAAAAAAGAATGGGGGTTTTATGATCCTGATGTTTTCACAAGTAATCACTGTTCCCAAAAGCCCGAGGGATGCAGTACCCTTTGCTGAGAACATGTCTCTGTCCACAGCTCTCTCCGAAGAAGACCTGGGAAGGCTTCATTGGGGGCTTCTTTGCAACTGTGCTGTTTGGCCTTCTGGTAGGTGGTGCCCTCAGGTGGGTGGGGCAGTGCCCAGAGGTCTCACACTACACTGCCGTCAAAAGCCCCTACGTCCTGGGACCAGGCATGTCCTGCTGAATAGTGACCCTGCCCCAGAGGGGGCGTGAGTGTGGTGAGCAGCACTGGCTGGCCTTCATCTATATTCTCAGGCAGGGCCCTGTGCAGCTTGGGTGCGCTTTCAGGTGTAGGCAAGCAACACAGCACATGTAGTGTTTCGAGATCAGAGGGAGTGGCGCCTGACTAGAGGGGTGAAGTGGGGTGATTTTCCTTCCCAGAGGGGACCGTCTTCCAGCCCTTTAGGGCACACCATTCTGTCTCCTGGTCCTCGGGCCAGTCTGCCTTTCCTAGTGTTGTTGAGCTGTCCCTTAGTGTTGCCCATCTTTATTGCTGTGCAGCCTCCTTCCTCCTGACTGGTACCTCTTGCTGTGCCTCTTCCTCCCTGTGATGCTTAGAGCCCGGTAGTGTGGACCACATTCCCTGAGCTGGAAGAGGCACCCCAGAGTTCTCTGCCCCCATCCTCTCAGCTCTTTCAGGGCTTGTATATGTATTTAACACATTTGTATGAGACCCCAGTAGGCCACAAACCTGCCTCTTACTTAAAAAATTCAGACAAAATCCACGTGGTATAACATGAGCCTGTGACTTAGTGTGTGGCTCACAGTGAGCAGGATGCTGGGTACTGTGAGGAACGAGGCCACTCTGGAGCTGGCTTGCCTGGGCTGTGTGGCAGCAGCATTCTACTTCTCTGTCTCTGTTTTTCCCCTCAGCTGTCTTATGTGATGTCGGGGTACAGATGCTTTGTCTGTCCTGTGGAGTACAACAATGACACCAACAGCTTCACTGTGGACTGTGAGCCCTCAGACCTGTTCCGCCTGCAGGAGTACAACATTCCTGGGGTGATCCAGTCAGTTGTTGGCTGGGTATGTGGTACTTACAAGGGGGACGGGGACAGCAAAGAGGAGACCCTCCACCACGTGGCCACCAGCACTGTCAGCCCCAGTGTGAAGGGCATGCTTCAGGCCAGGTCAAGTTGGGGCTGGAGGAGACCTTTGTCCCTTCACATCATTTGGACCAGTGGTTCTCAAAATATGTTTTGTGATATCCCTTTAGATGGGTCTGCAAAGTTCCTGCTGTGACCTGTGGACCTCTTTCTCTGCTGACATTTGCTGCTGTGGTGCAAAAGCAGCAGCAGGGGAAAGGGGTCCTCGGATCCGAGTTAGACAGTAGCACCTCCTGGACAGCAGCAGCAGCCTCCTCCTGCCACGCCTCTCCTGCAGACATGCCAGCTGCTCTTAGCGGTGTCTTTGAAAAAGTGAAAGTACTGATTTTATAAGTCTTGCCCCCATGTATGTGCTATTTTAATTCCTTGTGTACTGAAATGGAAAGCATGCATAAGCATTCTTGCTCAATACTAGAGTACACTTCGTGTACTTGAGGTGTGAGCTGCTTTTTTTCCCCTAAGAACATAACTTTTATTTGAAAAGAACTGACTAGTTTTTCAGACTTGGGTATTTTGCAGACACTTTTTGCAAAGAGGGAAATGAGTTTGTCACGTTAAGAGAAATGACTGACAGCAGGAGTTACCAATGATAAAATATGGGCTTCAAGTGGAAAGTAGGATTTTGGAAAGTGTGTCTACCGCTGTGAGGTTGACAGCTTCCTGATCCTTAAAGGCTTTCCTGATGCGATCTGTGATGATTTTAGCAGATGATATTGTGCATAACTTGGTGTATATGTTTTTTTTTTTTTTTAATATCAGTTCGTAGGGCTGGGGAGATAGCTCAGTGGAATAAGTGCTTGCCTGTATATATAGAGAGATCTATATCTATATCTATATCTATCTCTATCTCTATCTCTATCTCTATCTCTATCTCTATCTCTGTCTCTATCTCTATATCTATATCTCTCTCTATATATATATCAGTTCATACTGTTCCACAGTTATACACTGGTAAAAGAGCTGTTTAAGGTGAGATGACGTTGGTGGGTTTTAATATGGGAGAGCACAGAAAGTTCTTCAGTAGGATTTCAGCTTCACTTGGATTGTAACTCTTAAAAAAAATCTGTTCTTTGTTGGTATAGTATCAAATAAGAATACCTATGAGTTTTGAGAAGATAATTAAATGCTCTTCCTTTGAATACTGTATTTTCTTTCTTTCTTTTTTCTTTTTTTCTTTTTTTCTTTTTTTTTTCCTTTGGTACTGGGAATCCAGCCTAGGATCCTGTGCTTGCCAGGCAGGTACTGTGCAGCTCAGCTGTATGCCCAACCTCAATGCCCCTTTTCTGAATAAGGATGGATTTTCTTCATATCCTGCCACCAAAATAACATAGTGCAACAGGTTGAGTGCACTGTATCTTGATGTTAGGTTAGGTGTTAGATTTAAAAGAACAGGGAAGGGGCTGGTGAGATGGCTCAGTGTTCTGAAGCACCTACTTAGAACAAACTTAGCAAAGCACAGGGACCACGGTTCAATCCCTCAGCACCACATGCCAGCCAGCCCCGCCCCCTGGTGGGCTGAGCTGGCCACAGAGATACACACACACACACACACACACACACACATAAATAAAATTAAAAATAAATAGATAAAAGAACAGGGAAGAAACATACTCTTCTTACTGATTTAAAAAATGGGCGTAAGTTGCTTTGGCTCAGAGTTGTTTCTATTAACATATAATGCTCTGAACTCGTGCACATCCTAACTTGACTTCACTTGCTCTTCCCAGAAAACGGTTCGGATGTACCCCTTCCAGATTCACAGCATTGCCCTGTCCACCTTCGCCTCACTCATAGGCCCCTTTGGAGGCTTCTTTGCGAGTGGCTTCAAGCGAGCCTTTAAAATCAAGGTAGGGAAGCCTTCTCAAGTGCCCCTCATCTGCCCCCTGCCACCCCATTGGCCACTGCCCTCACTATCCAGGCCTTGCTCCCTACTGTTCATTTCAGCACGTTCTTCTTGACCTGTGTGCTGAACTTAGGTGGGTTAGACAAAAGTATGTTGTTTCTAAGAAAGTTCAGTTATTATGTTTCACTTTAATGATACTTGTTTCTTCAAAAGAACATTTTATAATTTATTAAGAATGTATCCTGAATTGGGCATGGTGGCATACATCTATGACCTACCTATGATCCTAGCACTCAGGAAGCAGGAGAATCACTCTTGAGTTCAAGGCCAGTCTGAGTTACATAGTGAGACTGTCTGAAAAAAATACAAACAACAACAACAAACAAAAAGGAAAGAGAGAAAGAAAGAATGTGTGCCATCATAGCCTGTGATTCAGCCCTTCTTTCTGCTGCCCTTAGCTATCCGGCATAGGAGCTGGCTGTTGGGTTGGGACCCCTAGTTTGGGATTTGGTTGTTGGCTGAACCAGGGCTCACTCATCCTTCCCTGACCGCTAACAGGACTTTGCCAATACCATTCCTGGCCACGGAGGCATCATGGATCGCTTTGACTGCCAGTACTTGATGGCCACCTTTGTCAACGTGTACATCGCCAGTTTTATCAGGTACAGTCTTCCATCTGAACCAAGTGGGTGGATTTTTTTAAGTATGGTACAGTTCTGGAATTTGGGCTCCATATAAGTTTTAATGAAAAGCATCTCAGATGTGAGCACAGGTCCCAGTTCTCTGTGACTGCTGTGGGTTCTCTGAAGCCCCTGATCCTACTCCATGAGTAGAGAATCCAGAGGTGAAAGTGGCCACTTGCAGAATCTGGCCTTGGAAGCAGCTCCGCCTGCTCAGGGCCACATCTTCAATTCCATTGCAGGGGCCCTAACCCGAGCAAATTGATTCAGCAGTTCCTGACCTTGCGGCCGGATCAGCAGCTCCACATCTTCAACACACTCAAGTCTCACCTGATGGACAAGGGAATCCTGACAGCTGCCACCGAGAACGAGTAGGGGCTGCCTGGGGCAAAGTGCAGGGGCAGAGGACTGAGGAAGGGGCAGGTCTCCAAGGCAAGCCCAGCTGCTGTGACTTAGACAGCGACAGGCTTCAACTCACAGGCTTTGCTTTTCTTCTTCTTCTTTTTTTTTTGGTAGTTTTTTTTAATTTGTGAGTTTTAAAAAAAATTTGTATATATAGTCCGTTTTTGAGTTGTGAGTAATCTCTAGCTCTGAGTTGGAAATAAGTCATGGGGGTTTACATTTCAAGTTTTTAAACAACTGAATTACTGAACAACCTGAAGGACAGTGTTGCCCAGCTCAGGATGTCTGCATTGTGGTTCCAGCCCTGTCCTTGGATTATTTCTGGGGCCAGGCGGTGGACATTGATCTGTGCCTAACCTATGCAGGGGCCTCTCTCCTGGGTAGGGTGCCTATGGCTCCCTGGGGACTTTGCAAGCAACCTTTGTTGGGAGCTGCTGAGAGCAGGTTTCTGTAGGCCTGGAGGAAGGGAGGCCCTGGTCCGATGGGCATTGCTCCTCACTGGAATCCTGCAGGGTATGTGCGCTGTGCTTCGTAGTATGGGTTCACTTTGCATCATCACAGATGGAAAGGTTTTTATTTTTTCAGAAAGCACGAAAAATTATTTATAATAATCTGGAGTAAAAACCACACTGTAATATTTTAAGTGTGTGCAGTAGAGTGCACTGTAGTAACCAAGCCCTTTCCCACCATGTAGGCTCCAGTGTCTCCTAGCAGGCAGTCTGGCAAACTGCGTGTTTTCAGGGCTGAGGCTGTGGCATTTGTGCTGTAGACTTGCTGCTGCTGGATGGGGGAATGGGAGGCCCCGGAGTTAGGGAGCAGGGGGCTTTTGGTTCATGTCGCCTTTGCTGAGTGTCCATGTAGCTGCTATAGTGTGCATCCATTACTCTTGAGGTGACAGTGTCTGTGTTCTAAAAGTCACTTCTTACAGTGATTTCACTTATACTATGACTGGTTCGCTAGAAGCCAGAAAGTTTGGCTTAAACCTATGGCAAACCTAATGTGATGGAGGCTTGATCATTTGAAGATTAAATGTATACTTTTTATATCATGTGACCAGTTCAAATGTAACGTGTTTTACTGGGGGACCTTCTTTGGTTGTTTGTGAACTGTGATTTACTCTTCCCCTCCTGGTTATAGGGGTGAGGTTGACTTGGGGAAGACAGAGGAGCTCTAGGTTAGGTCAGCCAGGTGAGCGGCGGAGCACAGGAGGGAGACTTCGGCCTTGGGCATCAGCCATTCCAAAGCCCTGTCAGTGTTGTGCTGAGGGTTTCAGTTCCCAGCCTCCCTCTGGGTCCTGCACTCTGAGTTATCTTCTAAGTGTGCTATTCCTTGATTCCACCGGAGCCTCCTGTGGGTGCTGAGTCATGGCCCATGCACCTGGAAGAAAGGGCTTCAGGCCTTGTGCAGAATGATTTGTGTCTCCCGTCTTCAGCAGTGGTCAGGAGTGAGGTTACTGTTTTCTCTCTGGAGCGAACTCAGGTCCAGAAGGGTGCTTCATGTGTTTCCCTCACCCCACTGTGCAGTTCTTGAAAACGGGCGTGGTGAGGCTGGCAGCTGAACCCACTCTGCAACAGGGCCACCTTGGGCTGTTCCTTGTGGACACAGCCATTCCTGGGGCTCCTGAGCAGCTAAAGCTGGGTGCTCCTTCAGCCTGCCAGAGGCTTGAGGGCCGTTGTGGGCTCTTTTTATCTGTTTATTTTCTTGATTTCCTGGAGTATAGAATTTGCCAGTCAGGTAGCCAGGAAAGCAGTGCCACCTTAGTCTCAACAGCAGCATTCTTTCATTTACTGAGCAGGTTCTGGAGCCTTCTTCATGTGCACCATGCAGATCATAGTGACTTGCATAACTTACTGTAGACCCATTGGTTTTCATTTTTTAATTTTTTGTTGGAAATAAAATGTGACCAAAAAAGTGCCCACCCTTGTCATGAATTCTGTGTTTGTCTTCCATGCCTGGTTTGACATGTTGCAAATGTGCTGTAGTCCTGATGTGGAGATTTCTGTTTCATTTTCTGGTCTATATCCTGTACATTCTTAGCGGTCTCTGAGATACTTCAGGATGGGGCTTCCCTGAGGCGGTGAGGGAAGCCAGACTCAGCCCGTCTGCACTGCATGCAAAGGAAAGGACCTGGGTCCCCCAGCCCCACTCCTCTCTGCAGTGCTGCAGGGTTCCTTCCCCCACGTTCAGGAGGGCTGGCCTGAGCCAGGCTGGAGCTTAAGTCACCGTTGGCTCATAACTGAGTTGGTGATGAGCCAAGAAGCCCCAGGACCAGGGCTGACTGGGAGCAGGAGCCTGGTGAGTTCTGCTCGGGACTGCTTGCAGGGAGGGGCTGTCTGTGTGTGGCTGAGCCATCCTCCCAACTGCCTACGTCACTGGAAAAGTACACATTTGTTTTTGTTCCCTGAAGGTGAAACCGTAGAAGGCAGCTGGGTCTTATATGTTTCTTTATCTATCCTGGCTCAGGGGGTCACTGTCAGCGGCCTGGGAAGGCCCAGCCAGCCTCTTTGTGGACGGTACCAGTCAGAGGACTTGGAGCCTCATGCACAGAGGGTCCTTGCACAGGGCTGGCTAGCAGCAGCCGTGTTCTTAGGAAGCCAACTGAAGTGGATGTTCAAGGGGGCGATTCATCATTTCCCCAACCATGGCATGTCACTGCTGAAACCTCTGTTCAGTACTGTCCTAGGTACTGTTGCCTTTGGTCTTTCAGAGTAACTGGCATAGGGCCTGCGGTTCTCATACACTGGGCTTCTGGGTGGTGAAAGGAGGAATGTGTACATGTGGACATACCTGTGGAGTGATTTTGCTTAGCCCCAGATCAGGGTGGGGAGAAAAGGCTGAGGGGAGGATACACAGGTGACTGTCACGGACGCGCCACTAGGCAGCATGCTGGGTGATTGGAACACAGCTCCCGAAGAGGGGGAGCTGATCCTTGAGCACAGCCTCATATTCTTATCTTGGTCAAAAGAAACTTCCTTTTCCTTTTATCGCTCCTTCCAGCTTACAGTTTTTAAAGAGATTAATTGCCTCTACTTTTCCTCCGTAAGGCCCCACCCACTTAGGGCACTGGCTTTGGATTAAGTGGTGACGAAAGACCCTTACTTATGGGCTCCATGAGGCCCACCTCCTCTTGGTCCTGGGCTTCCCTCATGCGTGCCCCTCAGGGACAGCGCCCTGACTGCTGTTGTGTCTTGAATGTGGCCTACCTTCTGGTTGGTCTTCAGCTTGGCCTCACCTGGGCTGCTGCTGTCTCCTGGGGCTGCACCCTTGGTTGGACAAGACTTGCACCTATTTTTCTGGGAACCATGCCTGCTTCGAGGGCAGTTTGGGAGGTGACTTGGATGAAGTGTTGGGTTAGGATGTGTGGGTGATTTATGAGAATGGAGGGGGCAATGTGTGAAGTCTAGAGGTTCAAATCCATTGACTGTTTGAAGGCCTTATCCATTCCTCCCCTTTAACCCCATGCCTATCTGGTGGTTCCTTTTCTTCTCAAGCCAGTGAGATGCCAGGAGTGTATCTGTTAAGGGTGGCAGTCGTACAGCGCTTAATGTGTGCCGGCCACAGTGTTCAGGGTTTGCATGCATTATCTCTTCTAACCCACAAACCCTTTGATGACATGGTGTGGTCCCCATTTTGCCAAAGAGGAAGCAGGCTCTGTCATGGAGGCTGAGAGCAGCGGCTGAGAAGACAGACTTCAGGCTCCTGGTCTGGGGCTCCTGGCCTCCTGCTCCTGCCTAGCTGAGTCCAAGACTGGTTGTAAGATTTTATGAGATTATGCATGAAAACATCTAGCACAGTGCCTGACACATAGTAAGTGCGCAATAAATAATTGTTATTCTCATTGAGCTCAGGCGGTCATTTAACCCACACTGGTGTAATGCCAGAAAATGGGTTCCCAGCCACCACCCTGCGTACAGCCTGGTGTTCACGGTCTGGAAAGTGACCACACCATCCCTTCGAGAGAAGCAGTGCAGTTGTAATGCTATCTGCCTCACACAGCAGTGGGGAAGAGGAGGGGAGGGTGCACAGGGTCTGCTCGGTGGGCGTGGCCTGCCCCAGCTTGGCGTCCACTTCCGGTGCGTGTGTCTGATCACCCCACTGCTGTTTTCACTTCCTGGGGTGACTGTACTCTGTGGATGGAAAAGGCCTGTGACTTGCTCTGGGCCCCACTCCCCCTCCCAGGCCGACCAAGGGCCATGCTTTGTGCACGCAGCTCAGGAGCCTGCGGTTCCCTGTACAGGCAAAGGATCTCAGTGACCTTCTAGAGAAGCGGAGAAAATGGACCTGTTCTGAAGCAGACCACCGATCAGGAGGCTGGAGTCTGTCCACTCCCTTGCCCCTAGCTTGGGGTCTTCTGTTCTTTCTCTTTTTCTTTCTTAAAGTAGTAACAACATAGAGTGTGAGATCGAAAGCCGAGGACAGGTGACATTCAGTTTTTCTGTTGGTTTGTAAGTGAGCTACAAGTGGGAGTGATTTGTGAGTGAGGAACGAACAGGCTGTAGACAGTGCAAATGTTTGTCTGGCTGGAGATTGGGAAGCGTATGTGAGAAGGATTGTATTGCAGGAAAGGCCCTGGCTGACAGAGCCTCTGGGTTCTTATGGCAGTGGGTAATGGTGTAAGTTAGAACTACTGCCGTGACTGTGGACTTTCCTGCGTGTTCATGGAACCCGGAGGCCTACTGCTGGAGTCTAAAGCACCATTTCTCCCCTACTATTTATTACCAAATAATGTCAGGAGTCAGAGAAGTGGGAGAAGGTTTCTAGTGAGGCCTGCAAGGACAGCCTCATCTGGGCAGGCCTGCCTGGACGGGGGTCTTCAGCCTGGCGCTTCCTTTCTGCCTCCCTCACTGTGACCCAGGCAGCTGTGTGTGGTGGCACATGCTGTAACCCTGGTACTTGCAAGGCTAAGGCAGGAGGATTGCTGTGAGTTTGAAGCCAGCCTGGGCCATATAGCAAGATCCTGTCTTAAAAACTAAGCGACCCAGGCAGCTTTTATCTAGAGAGAGGGAGGCTCCTCACAGGCTGGGGATGGAACGGGGACTCTGGTTCTGCAGCGCCTTTCCTCACTCATCAGGTCTGTATGCTGCTTTGCTGGCTTTTAGCAACACCAAAAGGGAAGGGAGTTCTGCATGCTTCCTAGCAGGCAGGAAGCACACATGTGTTTCTTGACAGTGCCCTCGAGGCTGCACTGACCTTTGGTAAGGGCTTCTGCCTCCTCTTGCAGGCTGGGGTGTGGGGCTGATTACAGAGGGAAGGAGCCGAGCAGATAGCAGGGCTGAGGGACTCGAGGTGAGAGAACAGTGAGGGGCTGAGAGGCAGTGACTTGTCTGCCCAGGAGTTCTGAGAAGCCCTGCGGCGGCAGTGGGAGGGTGGGCAGGACTGGGGACCTGGGAGCCCCTCACTGAGGACACACCTGAGGCCAGCGGAGTCTCTGGTGAGTGTGAGGGTGAGGCAGTGGGCAGGGAGCCCACCCCAGGGGACTGAGAGCTCCCAGATGGCCTCCCAGGGTCATGCTGGTGCAACCTTGCCCTGCTGCTACATGGTTTTCCTCCCCTCAGCCCTTTGGGTTTCCCCAGGTGGGCGTGTGCTTGTGTGCTCTGCTGTGCCCTTTACTCACTGTGGTGTTTTTTAAATCAGTGTTTTCGCCACAGCAGACCCTTCCTGTGCACCCTGATTAATGTGCAGCAGTACTCATAGGCCCGTTTCAATGCATTGTAAGAACATGGTATACTGTACGGGAAAGCATTTACTGTTTATATACCCGAATGTTCCTACTACAGAAATAAACGTGTATTGAATTCTAGCTCGTTTGTGGTTTGTGCGTGGAGGGGGGTGTGTATTTTTTAAAAATTTTAATTTTATTTTGGGGAGTGCATTTTGAAGACTGCTGACAAGGGCGTCACTGCCATGGGGCCAGCGCTGCTTCCGGGGTGCTGCTAACGCCCCCCCCCCTTTGCCCTGGCTGTCTCCACAGCTCTCCTGGGGTGGAGCCCTGCTGGCTCCTCAGCTGCCTTCCTTCTGGTGCTTCCCTGCCGTCCTCTAGGTGGCGCCATCTGCCGGCCTCTTTCCCACTGCGGTCTCCCCTAGGCGTTCCTGTTTGTTCCCTTCCACACTTCAGTCCCTCCTCTGTCCCACACTGGAGGACACTGCATGATGAAACTCATGGCTGCTTCTGCACCTGTCCTGGATCTGTTCTGCTACACAAGTAGTAGCTAGGAGTGAGCACGCCAGCCCTCATAGCATGCCTGCTCGGCTTTCCGAAGGCCTCCAGCTTCCCCACGACTGCTGGCCCTGGGGCCAGGCCTTCCTCCTGCCACGGTCTCCGTGGCAGCCTCTGGCGGTCCTCCTGCAGCACCTGCCCCTGCTCGCCCAGTCCTTACACCATAGCTGGGTGAGCTTTTCCAGCATGGGGCCCTTCAGTCCCTTGGGTCAGTTTAAATTTCTCCATGTGGTTTCTGGTGCTTGCTTTGCAGCGCGTATGCTAAGAGTTAAAGTTGTTTCCGGGACTGTCTGTGAGCTGGCCAGCACCTGGCACACCCGCCAGCCCTGTCACGGTCATGCATGGTGCTCATCCTGCTTTGTTCAGGTGAGCTGCCTCTGGGCCTTCGCATGTGCCATTTTGTGTGACGCTGACCTCTCTTCCTAGCCTGCTGACCCCTGTCAACCCTACAGTTTTCGCCCTCACCAGCACCTCCTGGGGAGCCCTTGATGGCCTGCCAGATGTGCTCCCTGCTTTAGGACCTGGGGGTCAGTGGGCCCAGTCTCACCTCCAGGTGGTAGGTAGCCAGGGCGACTGCCTTAGGCCTCTTTAGACAGGAGCCTCTGCTAGAGGGACCCTGGATAAGGTCTTCCAAAATGAATTCCTGGCCAACACTCAGGTAAAACACTCCACTCACTTTCCTAAATCCAACAAAACCAGATTGCAGCCCTCCAGGGTCCAGGGTTGAAGAAAAACTGGGCAGTGGGCATTTTTCTGACACTTGCTTTTGTACTGGGCTCATGGGGTGCTGGAGCAGTGAGGGCTACAGTCTCTAGTCCTGCTGGAGGGGCTTTCTTTGGTCCAGGCTGGGGAAGCCTACGTATCCACGCAGGGTGGTCCCATGTAGTGGCATAGGTACCCACATCTGGTACCCGTCCACCTCGGCCCGAACACGGCCATGATAATCCTGTGCAGTCAACAAACACTTGTGAAAGTGCCACTCTGCCAAGCCTTGGCCAGACACAGAGGTGCAGTTACACATCACATCCTCATCTCATGGAGCTCATTTTAGGAGGGGACAGCAAATGTGTGAGAAAAATAGTGTAGGATGGAGAAAAGCGCAGCCAGGAGCGGGGAATGGCGAGTGCTGATGGGGAGAGGTTACCCTTCTGCTCCCTTCTTCTGACCTTCTCCTCCTCCTCCTTTTCCTCCTCCTCCCTCCTCCCTCCTCCCCCTCCTTCCTCCTTTCTTTCTTTTTCCTCTTTTTTTTTTTTTTCCTGGCACTAGGGTTTGAATCCAGACCTTCACACTGAGCTATATCCCAGCCCCCTTTTTCCTTTTTATTTAGAGGCAGTGCCTCACTAAGTCACAGTTGCTCAGGTTGGGCTTGAACTTACGATTTTCCTGCCTCAGCCTCCTAGAGAGCTGGTAGTACAGGTGTGTGCTACCCCTCTGGACTGAGGTTGCAGTTATAAACAGGGTAGAAGGCATCAGTAACAGGGTAGAAGGCATCAGTGCCAGGGTAGCTGTGGCAGATGAACACGCCCAGAGGCTGGGAGGGAGCCTCGCAGAGACCCACACGAGGGCATTCTTGGCAGATGCACAGCTGGTCTCCAGGAGCTTCCGGTGTGTGGCAGTAGCTGAGAAACAGTAGCTAAAACTCCCCATGAGTCCAGTGCCTGGCAGCCCTTGCAGCTGGTTTGCACACTACTGGAGCAGACCTTACTGAGATGCCCCTTCTAGTGACAGGAAGTTCTGTCCCGTGGTGCCAGGCTTTAGGCAGAGATCCCCTAAGTTTTTGGCACCAGGGATTTTTTTTTTTTTTTTAATGTATTTGGTACAGGGTCTATAGGGTCTCACTACATAAATCGGACTCGTAGCGATCCTCCTGTTTTCAGCTTTCCAAGCACTGGGATTACAGGTGTGTACCACCATGCCCAGTCTCAATTGCTGTCTCAGTGTGCCCTGGGGGCGGGGCTGGCACGGCATGCTGGGGATCGAACCCCGGCTGCTGTGTTCTGCCGAAGCAGGCACCTTAGTCCGCTGAGCTATCTGGCCAGCCCAGGGATGGAGGACAGTTTTTCTATGGGCTGTGGGATGGGTCTAAGTTTTGGGATTAGATTCTCATACAGAGCCAGTGACTGACATCCCTCGCATGCGTGGGTCCCAGCAGCTTCACACTGGTGGGAGACTCCAAGGCGCTGCTGGTGACCTGAGTGGTGGGAGCAGCTGCGTGTACAGGCGAGCTTTGCTCCAGCCCCTGCTCACCTGCTGTGTGGCCTGCTCCCCTCACAGGCCCTGGCTGGGCACCAGTCTGGGTGCTGAGGGCAGGGGGTTAGTGACCCTGGTGCAGACCAACGTGTGCCTCTCAGCACCTCTGCTCAGCACGCTTTCTGAAGTGCAGTCATTTTGTTTTGAAGTAGTTTCAGATTTACAGAAGTTGTAAGAATAGTATAAAGAATTCTGTGCTTCTCTCCAATGCTTCTAATAGTAAACTTTTACTATAATTTTAAACTTGTGTACTGTCTTGCATGCCCTCTCTCCACATACTGTTTTTCTGGAGCCCTTGCTGCTTTACCGTTATGTTCTACTAAAATATCAAAAATAACAAGGGTACGATTTAAGAGACTCTGGTGGCCCGTGTGTGTGGCCGTGTGTGTGTGTGTGTGTGTGTGTGTGTGTGTGTGTGTGTGTGTGTGTGTGGTGTTGGGGCATGAAGCCGGGGCATTACCACTGAGCTACATTCCAGCCCTAAAAATCTTTTGAGGCAGGATCTCACTAAATAGCCCAGGCTAGGCTCAAACGTGTGACCCTCCCTCCAGCCTTCCAGGACGCTGTGAGTCTGAGTGTGGCTCACTCCAGGCTTTGGTGGTTCTGCAACCAAGGACCCTTCCTCCTGTGCGGACACAGCCGCGCCTCCCCACCTTCCCACCGCTCCCTGCAGCTGAGGTGGCAGTGCTGCCTTTAAGGGGTTAACCATGGCCCGCTGAGCGCGGCAGTGGCAGTGCACGCCTGCGCCCGGCAGAGGGCGGTCGAGTGTCAGGAGGGAGGCTGGCTGTGGGGTGTGCGCCCTGTGGGTGACGGAGGCTCGGTGTGGCTGCGGCGTGTGGCTGGGCCCTGGCAGGGGCAGCGTTCTGGGAGCGCCCAGGCCGGCGGAGCGACAGCAGCATCCATCTCCCCACCAGTGCCAGATTCCCCTCTGTAAAGAAGGGTAAAAGTAGCTCCTCGGCCGCTTGAGGGCCAAGTAGTTAATGCCCGAGGTGACAGCTTCTGGCACGTGGTAGGCTTTCACCAGTACTAACTGTACCCCTTTGGTGTCCGCCCTCCCCCGCCCCTTTCCTCCCTGACCCATGTGCGGGCCTTTTCATTAACCCTCCAGGACCACCTCCCACGGGTGGGTTCTGGAACTCCCGCCCTTGAACAGGGCTGTGCTGCAAGAGGCTGCCGGCACCATTCTCTCCACCGCAGCCTGGTGGGATTTGTATCTGAACAAAGGGCTTCCATCTATTCCATCTCCTGCTGCGGACTTGCCAGAGTGCAAGGAAGACTAGAAATGTAAGTACTCAGTTGACTCCCAGCCAACCGAAGAGGCTCCCGAGGCCAGGACAGTCTGAATGTGAATAAAGATGTAACTTCAGTCGATTGAAATCTAGCAGTTGTGTTAACACATGAATTTATAATGATACCGAAGTGCCAATGGCCAATGGTCTCTGGAGGATGCTACTACAAGGAATCCAGTTTTTAAGCTGGCAAACAAAAGGTGAGAACCAGGCACCTATTCTGCTTGTTCTAAGTAAACTGTGCCCTGGGCACTAAATACCTGCGCATAATGGTGAGTCTGCCATAAGGACGAGTCACTTACCTTTCAGCAAAGTGGCAGGATGAGATTGTCACTTGTGTAGGCAAAGGTGGTGTGGGAAAAAATTAACTGGATATCCATGTCCTAAATTAAAAGGTTGCCGTGTGAGGTATCTTGAGGGATCCAGCGATTGCAAAACCTGCCCTTGTCCTCACAAGCTTAAGCTACCATTGGTAGTGCTGGGGATGGAACCTGTGACCTCCTGCAGGCTGAGCAAGTGCTCTGCTACTGAGCTTTATCTTCAGCCCCTGCCCCCACCCTTTCTAATTTAGAAACAAGGTCTTGCTTAATTGCCCCAGCTGGGCTTGAACTTGCCATCCTCCTACCCCTGCCCTTCATAGTGCTGGAGTTATAGCCAAGCTCACTGTCACTTAAGTACAGTGCTTTTGAAGCTGTCTGTCAGGCTCTCTCTCTGCTCTCCCTACATTGTATGTGCATGCGTGTGTGTGTGTGTATGTGTGTGTGTGTGTGTGTGTGTGTGTGTGTGGCTGCTGTTAACTCATTGAGTGCCACCGGATAGAATTGCCCCACTGCCACATAGCTGTGTTGGGCTAGGGGTATAGCTCTGGTGCAAATCCTGCCTGGCAAGTGCAAGGTGCTGAGTTTGATTTCTGGCACCAAAAAAGAAAAAAAAAAAAAAAAAGCTGTGTTTCTCCCTTGCCTAGATCAGCACCATCCTGAGAGCTGGTGATGGTTGAAGAGCGACAGTGGAGTGGGAGGTGGAGCACGGACCTCTGCCTCACCG